CTTATAGCTCAAGTGGAAAGTAAGAGACCATCCAGTCCAGCCCCTTGACCTTAGATGGTTTTATCAGGTTTTATACCCATTTTATCAAGTATCTTGAGGATGGGGATTGTTACACTTTTTCTTTATATACCCAGTGCCTGGTACATTCCAGGCACTTAATGTGTGTTTGTTGATTAATTGTTTCATTGTTGACTAAGAGCGCAACTGATCTTCACAATTATTAAGCATAAAGTCATACACTTAGTTGATGGTAGATGGGATGGAGACATACATAGTGCATATACTTCCTGTCTTGTACTACCCTTCTCTTTTTAATCTATATAAATATTTAGAAAACACCCATCAACAACATATTGTTTGCATTAATGACAAAGCTGGAGCATAACATGTTCAGTTGTGCAGTCCCCCCTTCTTTGCAAAATAGAAGAATCCAATCATTAATAACAAAAACAACACCAATAACATGGCATTGATGGACTCTTCTGGAAAGCAAAGACACAGAGATCCCAAACTTCATATTTCTGGACTGGCTGACCTTTAAAATGTTTAATTAATCTAAATTAACTCCACAGATGTTGCAAAACAGCTGATACTATTTTTCCCCTATCGGGGAAAGGATGAAAGTGAAAAATTATTTGTTAAGTACCTACTCCATGCCAAGCACTTTACAGATACTATCTCTTTTAATCCTTACAACAATCCTGGGAGGTAGATGTTGTTATTATCACCATTTTACTGTTGAAGAAATGGAGAGTGATAGAATTTTGTTGACTTGCCCAGGGTCACATAATAAGTATCTGAGGCTGACTTTGAACTCAGATATTCCTCACTGCAGGCCTGGTGTTCTATTCACTGCTCCACCTAATTGCCTCTAGAAAGAGAAGGAAAGGGGAGAGAAGGAGAGAATGAAGATTTGGAATTCCCTTAGTTTCATTAACTGTCTCCCTTGATTTACTCAGTGTGCCTAGTCCTATGCTAGTCTCCCTGGAAGTGTATGATGAAGAGCTTATTTGGGGAAACCCAACCCCAGAGAGGTTCTGTTGTTTCAGCCTAAAGGACTTTGGCAGATACATTAGTCAGCCCTTTCTTTTGGACTGACCATCAAAGGACCTCAGGAATACTGCCTGTCCAGAAGAAGCCTTCCGGAACTTGCTACCAAGTGAGTGGCCATTGCCATGAGTAAGGATGTTGATTTCTAGCTCTCTGGCAGAGATCCCTATAGATTACAGTCAAATATTCTCTGTGGAAAACTCATAGCTAGGTACGCTTTTTCCACGGCAGAAAAACATTCCTAGCACAGAACTCGTTGGCTCATTAGACTTCAAGAGTAGACACCCTTGCCTGTGTGACATGATTTCAGGAATGCTATGAAAGTATACACTGGTCCATACAACCCTTCTTCCTTTCGGCTCACTGTTGCTGGAAATTCCAACATTATTGAAGCATACTATTGTCTTAGGGAAGCTAATGTCCCCTTATGCCTTTCCCAAGGATACTTGTAATATAGGGGCTTACTAAGACGGTCTTATGAACACATTAAACATAATCAGTCACTTGGTCAGTTGCCTGAATATAAATGATTTTCTCAGAGTCTTTACCGTAGAATCAGGTTTTAATAGAGGGGAAATAAAAATGGGGGAGAGAGATGGATCAGAAGCTCTTTGAGAGTAGGGACTGTGTTGTATTTTGCATTTATAACCCCATATGCTCCAGCACTATACCTGGTGCATAGTAGGTATTTAATAGATTATTGCTGACTGATTGAAAATACTGGTTTCCTAAGTGGTGAGAGACTAAAGGACACTGAGAGCAGAAAAGTATGATTAAAGGATAATTCTAGCTGAAGGTAAACCTGTGACCTTCAGAGCCTTCAGGCCAGTCCTACTCATCTTTAGAAAGAATGAAGTCAAATCCACAAGCAGATATCATACAACCATACATTTAGATTGGAAGGGACCTTGGGATCATCTGATCATCCAGACAAACCCTCATAAGAAAACTTGGCCTTTAGAAATTAAATGATTTGCCCAAGGTCACCAAACTGTTCCTTAGCTGACGTAGGATTTGAATCCCAAACCTAGACCTCTTTGCATTGTGCCACACTGACTCTCAAAAAAGAAATAAAGAAACAAAACCTTTAAAAAGTAATAAGTCTGTTCTACTCTGCTAGTTCCCTTGCTGTCACATCTTCCAAAGGTGTGTTTCCATCATTCTAGAGCCATCCAGTATCTTTGAGTCCATCTAACCATCTAACCCCAGTCTTAGAGGTCACCAAACTCTACGTCACACAGGTTTGCTCTCCAGAAAAGGCCCAACAGTACTCACTTCAGCCCAGGCTACAGTGACTTCTATGTTAGCTGGAGTTTGTTCTATTATCCAGAATTCCAAAATGACCAGAACTTTCCCATATTTTTATAGAGATAAGTAATGTTTTTTAGCATAACTTGATGAACTCTGAGACCCTGAAGTTCATTCTGTGTCTTCAAAGAAGGGTAAAAAAAATCCATTACGCAAAATCTTGATGTTGCAGAATATTGCAGTGTGCAAATTTTTCAAGCAACTGTTGATATGGTGTAATATGCAGTAAAACTAGGTTTAATAGAAAATATGGTTGAACAGAATTGCCCCATTCCTTAAACAGGCCAGGGAACAGAGTCTACATCATATCCATTGCTGGGGAGGAGCCTGTGGCAGTCCCACGGACAGCCTTGTGAGGCTCCCAGCAAGTTATGAAACCTGGGAGGCATAACAAGCAACTTTTTTTGCTTCTAATTACTTACACATCTCCATGAATGTGTTGTTGATGTGAAGTCACACCACATGTCTTCCCGCCTGGGAATCAAGAGAAGACACTTTTCTCTCATCCTGGTGAGGGGCCCGGGAGAGAGGAAATGAAAACAAACTTGAACGAATCAATGATGGCCTTTTCCTGGAGTATTCCTTTCTCGTTCATGCATGATCACTTACGGCACAGCTTTGGAGTCCCTTCTAGTGCTTGTGGCCATTGGTGGAAAATTCCCAAAAGCCAGGATGTGACCAAGTCACCTTTGCTTCACATCGTGACCTCTTCATGAGTCACAATAGCTGGCAGAGTAGTAAGACTGGAATTTGTCATCAGAAAGGGTTTTCTCTGTAGATATTTGAAAAACATCACCACCACCTCTGGATATTATTAATCAATTGGGAAGCGGGCTGTGTGTTGGAGAGTTAATCCATCACACTACTTGATGTGCCATGGTCATAAGTCATCTTCAGGAAAGAACACAAGATAATGAGATTAACACCTTCTTTGGAGGGGAGAGAAGCACCCAATATGGAATGATATTGTGTCTTTAAAAATTCTCTGTGAACTGCTTAAGTCATTTGCTAGAAGAATCAAAACAAGTTCCATGAAGATATATTAATTTGAGGAAAAAAAACCCTTTTTTTTTCAAGCCTCCCTAGGTCCTGATTCAGACTGCCACCTCTCTCCTAGCTGGAAGCACCCACAGCATCCCCCCCCCCGACCTTCCCCACTAAAATAGCATAAATAATTATGAATTACATACAGTGTATGTGCTATATACTATATATGTATATATGTATATATGCATACAGTCATCACCTTCACACAGGGACACAGACATGCTAAGTACCACTAAAGCTTTATGTCAGTATCTCTTGTCTCTCAAGCCCCCAAAATTGACATCTCTCTGTATCATGTTCTTTCATCAGATTTTTCACATACTGAAACAACTTCTATGTATGTGATGCTATCTAAGAGAAGAAAAAAAACACCCTCTTTCCTCTCACAGCAACTATAAAAGTCTGAGACTTTGGGAGTGGAGGTAGTGGGAGATAAAGGTGTTTTTTTTTTCAGTCTCCCCATATTCCCAAAGGGTTGAAGGGCCTCTGATCTGGGGACAGTTTTTGCTTCTAAAAGCTTTGCCTCTAAGTCTACAGATGCAACCCACACAGACCTTACCTTAATACACCATGACATGAACCAGCAACTAAATCTGAACTCAGGTAGTGTTCATAGGTCAGGCTTATAGGTCAGGCATTAGAAGCACCCACCCTTAGTCATTCACTGGGAAACAGACTGTTTTCCAGTGGGTAGCATCCTAGCACTGCTCAATTACAGATGTAAGGCACAGAACAGAGAGCTTTACTCCCCCCTTTGAGCCATTTCACACACACATATACAACACACAAACACACACACACACACACACACACACACACACACACACACGAAGGGCTGTACTTGTTATAAAAGTCCCAGTCATTGCAAAAAGGAATGCAGGACAGCATAATTAGTGTAGAGCAGTTAATCCAAAACATAATGTCTGCAGTTAAAAGTGTTTTCCAAATCCTCCCCTTCCAAGCTCTCAAATCAGATCACTGTTCTTCCCAGACTACAAAATGTCTGAATGGGTTTCATTTGCATCCTGTATGTCATTATGTCACGTTTTAATTAAAATGAAGCAGGATGAACTTTCCCAAGTTAAGGAAGAGTGGACTTTTTTATGCATGCATGTATGCATATATCTGTGTGTGCATCCAAGCCAGCCTCCCTTGGTTTCACATTAGAAAAGAATGTTAGGTACTTCTCTTTAAAGGTTCTCTTCAGAAATGAGTTTAAAACATTAGCATATTCATTTATCCTTGAGGAAAGAGAGATGGGGTAGGGAACTCACACCCTTAGCTTCCACAAACCTCCTGGTGATGCCGCCCTACATCTGATAAAACTGATCCTGGCCTTTTACATCTGGTAACATTCCCCTTTTTCCCATCCTGCAATTTGAAATTCTCCCATAAAAGATGCATCCTCTGCACTGGTGAGCCTCTGGCTTTGAAAGAGAGGTCTGGACATGGATAATGGGAATCACGTTTGAAAATTTGCCACCAGGAAATTTTTATTCACACTATACTTTTGCTTAGCTATTCAAAGAGCCCCTTTCCACCCCCTGAAACTTCATACTCCAAACCCCACTCCACCCCCTTATACACAACACCCTTCATCTCTATAACCTGATGTTTTCCCCAACAAAACTTCCTAAGGTCTCAGTAGCAGAACTGAAGTGGTAGTGAAGGAAGCAATTGGCCAGTTTTACCACCAAGGACAAACATTCCAAAATACTTGGTGAAATCATAAGCTTCAAAAAAAGACGGCCAGGAAGGCAATAGGTCTTCTGTCTTGGATTAATAAACACCCGGGTTTCTGTCCATCATCCTCTCGGTCATGTCCAAACACAAGATGAAATGAAGATCTCCCTCACCCCCAGCTGATGGCTTTGGGGGTGTTGTCTAATCTCTTCTGCTAGACATTAATTTGCTGGAGGCATTCATCCTGAGGTAGGATTTGAGAGGAGTTCCCTATAGTAACTAGAAGTGCTGTACTCTCTGTCATCCCCTAAGCCTACTTGCAGCCTTAGCAGTTCACACAGAGCTTTTGCCACTGAAAATAAATTTGGATCTGGTCTTCCTCTCCTCAGCATCCCCCTGCTAGGGCAGAGAGAACTAGGAGGGTGCTCTCCCCCCCCCACACACACATCTCCCTCTCTCTACTCCTTGCCCTATCTCCGTCCTTTTCTCCCTCCTGAATCAGGGAGCAGAGTACTAGAAGCAAGTGGGGTGGGGTGGAGGTGAGAAGAAGATCCCCCTTCCCATGGATTAAAAATGTCAATGATATAGATTTCAAAAAAAAAAAAAGGTTACTTTCCATGACCCTTACAAGTGATTTATGTGGGTATATTGCTTTAAGATCCTTTAAAAAAAATTGCCAGGGACTTGTTCAGGACATTTATAAGAGTTTCCATTACCTTCTTTAAAGACATAGAGTTCATGGCATTTTCAGGGAATATATATATATATATATTTTTATATTTCAAGTTGCCTGCTTTTCTCTCTCCACTCCCTTCCTCCCTCCCCCAAGTAATGTGCTATCCATAGGCATCAATCATTACACTAGAATGCTACTCCCTCTCTTAATTTCTTTCAATTTGGTATGGCTTCTCTGCTGTTTGATTTCCACGTCAGCAGAATCCCAAGGAAGAAAAAGTGGTCTAGCTGTTGCATCTCTGACCGTGGGGAACAATGCATTTAGGGTACACCAGTCTGTGAAAACTGTAAATGCTATTTTATTTTAAACATTTTTAGTTTACAAAAAAAAAATCAATGATTGGTACCTTTTTTTTTTACACTCTCAGATTCCTGAATATTGACAAATCTTCAAAGAGAGGAGTTCTCATATGAAATTTAAGATAAACTGTCCTGAAGGTTGTGTGGTGTGTATGTATGTGAGTCTGAGTGTATGTGTATACGTGTGTGTGTGTTCGAGGCAGAGTATGTGGGTAGGTGAGTGTGAGGGGTGGGGGTTCTGGTTTCTGGTTTGTGTTCTTGTTTGTTTTTAAGACACGGATAAAGCTAAAATCTCAAGTCTGGAGACAAGAGTCTCTGACAAATTCAGTCCAGAACCGCATGAGAAAGCAGGGAACCGCCAACCCTCCCGTCTCCTCTCTCCCCATGGTTATTTGGTTGCTCACAGGTCTGAAAGCCCCTCGGCCCCCATCACACCTCACATTCCCTGGCTGGCTGCTGGTGACAGGAACAGGACCCGTACTCGTTAATGATCACCAGTGCGCCCTCAATGTGGTTGGGCTTGTAGTCCACGTAGTACTCCTGGGCTGACATGGCAGCCATCTGATGCATAGTCTGTTTCTGCTTCTGCTTTCTGCGCTGTGTCACAAAACACTGTCGCAGCTGCCTGAGGCTGGCTGGGAAACACTTCCAGGACACATACAAAACCAGCACCACGATGAGGAAGGAGAAGATGAGGGCCATGGTCCCCGTCACCACCTTGTGGATCTGCACGGCGTTCTCGGCATGCTCGACAGGGACTGTGACCCCCCCGACGGCGTCCGTCGTCCTGGCTCCCTCCATATCCTGCGCCCCGCCGCCCGAGACCGTGGTGGCAGGGCTGATGTCGGAGGCCCCGTCGCTGTGGTTGGTCACGGCCGAGAGCAGGTGGCCGCTGGTGGGGTCAGTGGCGTCCTCGCAGAGGTGAAAGGCGTACACCGCGTCCAGGACGTCCTCCCCCTGGGCGTACTCCGGGCTGGCGCACAGCAAGTTGCCGTCGTAGCGGCCCTTGAAGTTACTGAGCCACGAGGCCAGGGCGCACACGTTGCGACCGCAGTCCCACGCGTTCCCCGATAGCGTGATGCTGGACAGGGATTTCCAGGACTTGAGGATCCGCGGGTCTATGTAGGTGAGACGGTTGGAGTCGAGCTGCAGCGAGTCGAGGTGGGGCACGGCCTCGAAGGCGTGCGGCTCCATGTACTCGATCTCATTGCCCGACAGGTCCAGCTTCTCCAGCCTCCACACCCAGTCCAGGGAGTTGACGACGATGGCCACCTTGTTGCGGCGCAGGCACAGCGAGTGCAGGGAGACGAGGCGCGGGAAGTGCGCCAGGTTCACCTTCACCAGGTCGTTGTGCTCCAGGTGGAGCTCGGTGAGCTTGAAGAGGCCGGCGAAGGAGTTGCGCGCCAGGCTCTTGAGTTGGTTGTAGCCGATGTCGAGGAACTTGAGGCTGCGGCAGTCCTGGAAGATGCGCACGGGCACGAACTTGATGGCGTTGGCCCGCATGTGCAGCGTGGTGAGCTTCCGCAAGCCGTGGAAGAGGTCGGGAGCCAGCTCCTGCAGGTTGTTGTAGGACAGGTCCACGCTGCGCAGGTTGGGCATGGGCCGGAACGTGGTGTTGGCCAGCTGGCTGATCTGGTTGGAGCTCAGGGTGAGCTCCTTCACCCGTCGCAGCTTCTGAAAGGCGTCCCCCTCCACCGAGCAAATGTGATTGTGATCCAGATAGAGCCACGTGAGCTGCATTAACCCCGTGAACTGTCCATCACGCAGCTCCGAGAGGCTGTTGTACCGCAGAGACAAGCCCATCATGCCAGACAGGTTGTGAGGCGCCTCCGTGAGGTTCAGTGACTCACAGTACAACAGCCGCCCCTCGCACCGACACAGCTGCGGGCACCCGCTCTGCGCCGCCGGGAGCATCTGAAAGCCGACACCCAGCACACACACGATCCACCCCGGGGGTTTCCTCAGCAGCCAGTTTAGACAGAGCCCGAGAAGCAGGAAATCCATTAGCAAGAATCTTTACGGAGAGGTTCGACAATGTCCATTGAACCGCTGGGTCAGGAGTCTACATCATATTTTATTTCGGGGAGGGGGTGGGGTGGGGTGTCAAATAAATGAGAAGAGTATTAAAAAAAAAAGCCAGACCAAAAATAAATAAATAAAACCTCCAGGCACACGGTTCACCTTTAAACATGCAGAAAGCTGGGCGTCATTTAAAGTTCACGGAAACGCAACGGTAAAAAAGATCGTGATTTTGTCCATGTTAAAGACTGCAGCAAAGGAAAAAAAAAGGAGGAAAAAAAATCTTTCTTCCTGAAAGAATTTAATTAAAAAGTGTCTTACCCACCCTTTTCCAGAGAGTGACAACCTCCATTCAGATGCTTCCTTTGTGTTTGGGCTAATTATATGCAGGGCTAGAAAAGACCCCTCTGTGCTACAAATTCCGTCCCTTTCAATTCGGAGCAAAGCTGGCGGGCTCACAATGTCTCACTTTGCTTGGGCTCGGAGGGCTGGAAGGGATGGCCGGCTCTCTGGCTCGCTGACTTCTAGGACCTGCAAGTTTCCCGAACTACGTGCGAGAGCTTCGTCTCCCCCTCCTCCTCCTCCTCCTCCTGCTCCTCTTCTTCCTCCTCCTTCTCCTCCTCCTCCTCCTCCTCCTCCTCCTCCTCTTCTTCCTCCTCCTCCTCCTTCTTCTTCTCCTCCTCCTCCTCCTCCTCCTCCACCACCAGCACCACCACCACCACCACCACCTCCTCCTCCTCCTCCTCCACCACCACCACCACCTCCCCCGGCTCCTTTCTCTCTGCAGTTAATCCGGTGACGTGGTGGGGAAAAAAACTCCAAACTCTTTCCCAACGACTCCGCGGGAGCTGACAAGCCGGTTAATGTCCGTCATTGGAAATGAGCACTACCCGGCGGCGCCACCTTCTTCACTCCGCCGAGACAGTTGGCCATCCGTTCCCGGACGGGCTCCGGAGAGCTTGGCTGCCCATCCTTTGGGGCGCCCGCTCGGCTTAGGGGTGCTGGCGCTTGGCTGGCGCGGGTGGCAGAGGCGCGAGGAGGGAGAGACAGTGGAGGGGAGCCGAGAGAAGGAGGGCGGCGGGGGCAGGGGCAGGGGCGGCGGCGGTGGTGGCAAGAGGATGCTCCCCTTTGGCTGAGTAGTGCTGCCGCTGCTGCTGCTGCCTCCGATGCTGCTGCTGCTTCCGATGCTGCTGCTACCGAGGATGCCGCGGCTGCTGGGTCTTGCAGAGGCACCTTCTGCTCAGTGAGTGTCGTAAGCTGCTCACGATTGTACGTCTTGCCTGTGCACCTCAGACATGGGCAGATTGAAAAGGGGTGGGCATAAAACCAACACTGGAGTGAACCAGTAAAGTAATATATGTTCTTTGATGAAATGGAAAATACTTTAAGCCTCTTGGTCCATTTTTGAGAAAGAGAGAGAGAGAGAGAGGGAGAGAGAGAGAGAGAGAGAGAGAGAGAGAGAGAGAGAGAGAGAGAGAGAGAGAGAGAGAGAGAGAGAGAGAGGGAGAAATGGGGGTGGGTGGGTGGGCAGGGAAAGAATAATCAAGGGCAGAGTATTTTTAAGTGGGGAACTGCATTATTCATTCCCTCCCCTTGATTCCCCCACCTCCCCCACCCCTTTAAGCTTCCTAGATGGAGAAGACACTTATGAATCTCTGTGGAAAGAGACGTTGGGTCCCTCGCTTGGAAGAGCAACTTGAGAAAGTGAAGAAGAGATGGGAGAGAAGAAGGCTCCTGGGGTTTTGCTTCTTTCACACTCCCCCACCTCCCCTCCTCCCAGTCCTTCTAATGCAGACAGGAGTACTGCACCCAGCTAGTCCTCCTTGGTGGCTGGGTTTGCTTTATTTTACAATCCGGGCAGGTTTGGCAAAGCCATTCCTTGTCCTGCCAGAGAGAGAGAGAGAGAGAGAGAGAGAGAGAGAGAGAGAGACAGAGACAGAGACAGAGAGAGACAGAGACAGAGAGAGACAGAGACTCAGCCTTGCAGAGCTTGAATGTCTGTGGGCAAGGCACTATGATTAAATGCTGGGCTTGGCCAGCCTACACGCATACATGTAGGCGTCCGTGCTGGGGAGGACAAACACAGGGTGCATCCCTGCATTAGTGGCAGATCAGAATCTGCTGCATAGAATGGGAAAAGCTAGACCCCATGATCTGTGGGTTTGTAGAGGGCATTGCTCATGGTGAGTAGGAGGGACCTAGCAGAACCCATATGTGTGGGTAGGTACATGGGATGGCAGGGAAAGAGGAGGGTGAATTTGGCCACAGTTGATTTTTTTTTTTCAGTATTCTATGAATACAGAATTGTGTGTCTATCTGCTTTTTGGAAGCTTTCCCTGCTGGTCTCCAGTCATCACAACTGATGTGAGAGGGTCGTAACACTGGATTCCCTCCCTTCTCCACTGAGAATGGAAGGTATAGATGAATCTAGAAGGGGTTGTGTTTACTGTCTTTTGGGAATATCCTTCCTCAATGATGGCTCTGGGACACTACTGGAATCCCACCCCAAGGTTAGCATGGGCACCAGAAATTCCTGTCACAGAGAGAAGTCTAATGGAAGAATAAAAATCTTCAGAACAGACTGTGATAATTCCCCTCCTGCTGTCACCATGGAATTCTGTTTCAGGAAATAGCCCAGTATTGGATGTTTCTACTGCTCTGGGTGTGGAAGTGGGTGGGGCCCAGGAGAGTGCCAAACCAGACACCCCAAGATGAATTTTGATTTGGGAGCTGTGCCTGGTTAGGTCCTCAGAACTCTAGGGCCATATCTGAGTAAGGGAACCAAAGCCATCATTGAATGCCAGGACACTTCTGAGGAAACATCATGGGTCTGAAGGAGTGAATCATTTCAGAGCAGCAGCATTCAGTTAAGCTTCCATGACCATCCGGGGGAACACAGACAAATGTGAGAGAACTGCATGAAGAATGTATATGAGGAGCCATATCTATTTGGAGGGTGAATTTAGATCTGAAATGCCCATTGTTATCAGATACTGTTAGTTAATCAGTCAAGCATTTATAAAGCGCTTTGTGTTATCAGGTACTATGCTAGGTATAGGAATACCAAAACAAAAAGGAAAAAGGTCTGGACTTGAAGGAAGTGGCAGTCTTAGAAACATGGATTATCAGATTGAGAAGAAACCTTGGAGTTTATCCAGACCAGGGGGTCTTCACCTTTTTATTTTTTAATGTCATAAACCCACTTGACAGCCTAAGGACCCTTTCTCAGTTTTTGAATGCATAAAATCAAATGTGCAGAATTACAAAGGAAGCCAATTATATTGAAATGCAGTTATCAAATTCCTGAATCCCAGATTAAGAGCCCTTCTTCTAGACCAAAAGAGAAGGAAACAAGCCCAGAGAAGTAAAGAGAATTATCCCATAAAAAGTAAGCTACTGGAGGGTAGGGAAAGTTTTATTTTTGTCTTTGTATCTTCAGGACCTAGAACAGTGCCTGGCACACTGTAGGTACTTAATAAATCATTCTTCATTTATTGATTGCTCTGAATTGTACAGTTTTCATCATTTCACTCCACACTTTAAGCACTGACCAAAGCTCCCAACTGCCTACTCTCAAATTCTATAGCTCAGTGATGGCAAGGACCTTAGAGGTCATCCAGCCTAACCTTGTCAGTGTACATATGAAATAGAAGCCTAGAAAGATAGAAATAATTAGCTTAAAGTCACAGAGCTCATTAGTGGCAGAACTAGGACTGTAACTGAGTTCTATACGTAGCAAATCTGATGCTTGAGGAAAGCACCAGAAAATGTGCCCAGGGCAAGCAGCAGTAAAAGCATTCTTGCATCAACTTCTATTTTTTTTTTTTCTGAAAAATTCAGTTGGTGGAAGAAGACATTGGGAAAAGCCCAGAGTCTTCAAGTCTCTTCTCAGGCAAGAGGAGGCAAAAAGACATTGCTTGTGAGAGGAAGTCCAAGAGAGAGACCCTAAGATGCCGAAAGGCCATAGCTCTGGAGGCTACCGCTGAAAGAACAAGCAGAGTAGGACTGGGCTGGAGAGGAGATGATCACCTATGTTTTGGATCCTGGAGAAGGTGGGAGAATCAGACAGAAACATGCAATCTAGTTGCTTTCTATTTTAACTAATTATTATTGTTAAACAGTTGCCAAGTTTAGTTGTTTTGCCTTCTGAAAGAGTAGAAGTGCTGTTTTGCCCTCTAAATCTCAGCATTTCCACTCAATGTCCAAACTGCCTCGTGCCAGTGACATCTCCACTAGAATAAAACCCCAGCTGTTGCCCAGCCTAATGGACTAAATCATGCTGCTAAACCTGATGGATGGATGCTTCTCTGTTGCCCTTATCACTTTCAAGTGTTCTACTGGGTGGCTTGGACACAAACCAAACCAGACCATCCCTTGGGAATTTCATCATGTTGTCACTAAATTGAGGTTGGGTACTTAGCCAATAAAGTATCAGAGCCATGAGCATGGTTCCCCTTTTCCCAGACAAAGATCCCTGACTAAAAGTGGTCATGGTAGTGTGATGACTGATTGATCTATCTAATTTAAGTGTGTGTGGGTGTGGGTGTGGGTGTGTGTGGGTGTGGGTGTGTGAGTGTGTGTATGAAGATGGTAGGTACTAGGTCTAAGAGTAGACAGGCTGTCAGCAGGTAATGTTATAATGAGCAGCCCTCATGTTTCAGACTGTTTGGAAATGTGAGAGTGGCTGCTGCCAGATGGACAAGAAGAGGCCCTACTTTTGATCTCTCTTGATTTGTAGAGGGAGCCCAGGGAGGCAGCAAAGAATTGGTAGTGCCTTTTGCAGGAAGAGAATAGGAATAAATGAAATTCCACTGAATTTATATATAATTTATCTCATAAATAGCACCAAGATCTTTCAAGATGCTTCTAGGCTGCACTTAAAAAAAAAGAAAGGAATATAAATTTTAACATAAGCATATAATACTTCAGTCCTTCCCTGATGTCTTCCACTGGTCAGGGCACATCCCTCCACTTAAATTACTTTGCATTTACTTTTGACATTTTTTTTTCCCTTATGTGAGTATGTTTTGTCCTCCCTACTCTCACAGCAGAGTGTAAGTTCCTTGAGGTCAATTATCTTTCATTTTTGTCTTTATATCCTCAGAAATAATCCACAGCCTGATGAAGTCAGATGAAGAAAGTATTTAACCATATGCTATGGTTTGCCCAGGCTGGGGTTATAAAGAAGGCAAAAAAAAAAAAGTCCCTGCTCTCAAGTTCATAGTCGAATTGATGGGGTTGGGGGAACCAAATGCAAATGACCATGTATAAACAAGATACACAAAGGATAAATTGGATATAATCACCAAAGGAGAAGCACCAACATTAAGGGGAAACATCCCCCACACACTTTTTCTTGGAGAGGTGTTATTTTCTATAAGACTTGCAGGAAGCCAAGGAAACCAGAAGGTGGCAATGAGGAGAGAATTCTGGGCAAGTCAAAAGCCTGGAAAATCCATAGAGTTGGGAGATGGAGTGTCTTGTGGGAGGAACTAGGTACACCTGTAGGTGTGTTTAAAAAAAAATATATATATATATATATATACACACACACATATATATGTATATACATGTATATATGTATATATACACACACAAA